AAAAAGTGTGTGTGTGTGTGTGTGTGTGTGTGTGTGTGTGACCATGCATGTGTGTGTGTGTGGGTGAAATAGAGTGTGAGGAGCTTCCAGGAGACTCTGATATCTAGGCCACGGGAGTCCAAGGCAGCCAGTGTGTCTGGTGTCACAGCAAATAAACTGTCAGCTGTACACCACCTGCCTGCCCAAACATGCTCGCACACACACAAACACAAACACACACGCACACACACACACACACACACACACACACACACAAAAAACCAAAGTCTGAGAAGAAGAGACTAAGAATAGAACACCCCGGAGAGTGTTTCTCCCTCCACCTCCTCTTCCCTCTGTCTGCTCTCCTCCTGCCACCGTCAGCGGTGTTTCGCAAGTGGCCTCCAACACGATTGGAATCTTTTCTGTCTTCCACCCTTTCCCCAGAGCTCAGCCCAGCCCTTCTCTCCCACAGCGAAATGAGTCACCTGCACTCCTTCGCTCCTCTCCGCTTCTCTAGGTATACGGTAGCTGCTAAGGCTAAGGAAAAGGCAAAGCAGGAGGACGTCATCTGCAGCCCCCGGGTGTGTTCTGCTTTTATTGACAGAGGCGGAGGGAGGAAAGGGATGCGAAGTGGTGAAAACACAGGAGAGGCGCTTCTGAAGCGGGATTCAATCGGAGGCCAGCAGGGGTTTGTGTGGTTTCAGAGGCCTGAACCACTAAACCATCTCTGGGGAGGATTTTCAGGGCCTGTATGCTCATTAATGTGTGCAACCTGGAGATATTAGACAAGATGGAGCAGTTTCAGCACAAGGAGTGGTTATGCCATCTGTAGCATCTAAATCCACATAATACTTACGCCGTGTGTGTGTGTGTCTGTGTGTGTGTGTGTGTGTGGGCACGTATACAGAGAGATGTGTGAGTGCTTGCTTACATTCTGTGTGAGTGTATTTATGTATGTGTATGTGTGTGTGTGTGTGTGTGTGGGTGTTTGTGTGTGTGGTATGCTGCTCTCAGTCTGGTCCCTCTGTTTCTCTGCTGTCTGTGGCCTCCTCTTCCCCATGAATACTAATGTGCTTCAAACCCCAGAGATCAACCCTCCTCCCTTTCCCTTCACTCCCTCCCTCCTTCGCCAGCCTCCCTCCCTCCCTCTCTCCATCTCTGCCTTCCTTTGCCACAGTCTTCATTTATTTCTTCGCCCCCTTTACCTTTCAACTTCCCCTCTCTTTCATGTACCCTTTGCACCCCATCTTTTTCTCCTCCCAAAACGCCCTCCCTCGCTTCCTCTTTCCCTGCCTTATTTCCTCATCCTTCCCTCCCTCTTCCTTTTGCCTTCCCTTCCCTCCCCTTCATTTCTAGCTCTTTACTTCCTCTTCTTTTCACCTTCTCCTCTCTCTGTTCTCCTCACCTCTCAGCCTTTCCTTCCCTTCATTTCACGTTACATCGCACAACTCTTCTCCTTTTAACATCACCTCTTCACTAAGCATTTCTCTCCTTGGCTCTCCTCATCCTTGTTTCCTTTCTTGTTTCCCTTCCTTTCCTTTCCTCTCCTCTCCTAACCTCTTTTTCCTCACCTCTCCTCTCTCATTTCCTTTCCCCTCCCCTCTTTTTCTCCCCTCTCCCCTCATGCCCTCTACCCCCTCCCCTTTCTCACCTCAGCTCTCAATCTTCTCTCTCCTTTCTGCCTCGTCCCCTCTGTTCTTTACAGTACACCTCCTCGAGAGGACATGTAAATGAGGTCAGCACAGTCGAGTACATCAGCCGCATCACTCAGGTATGAGCGTAGGTGTGCACCGACGCATACGTGCACAAATTAAACATGTAAGTCCATGACTCTGTGTGTGTGTGTGTATTCATTACGTGTTGCTGTGTGTGGTGCGTTCCAGCCCTAATAAAGAATTTCCTCTCTTAATCTGTATACCAGTGAACCAAGTGCTCCAATTACATAAACGCCTTCACCCCAATACATTTTGACATCCCGAACATTTTTCACAGCCTAATTCATTTATAACTGCATCCCATTTCTTGGCCTCCTTTTCGTTCTTTTTTTTCCACCACACGCCCTGGAAACAGATGATGAGCAGGGGTGAAGGGATGAAAGGAGCTTTCACTTCCTTGTGTTATAAGGAGGCTGCTACTCTTCGGTAGCCTACTGCTGCTGACTGCACGTTCTGAAAACTTTACTGCTTTCCCACATACACACGCAAAGGATGAGTGTGGAAATAAAACCCTGTGACTGCCAACAGCAGAGAGAGCATTTGTGAGAATGTAAGTGAGAGAGAGATAGAGAGAGATGGGGGAGTGAGTTAAAAGGGAAGAAAATGGGAGGAGATGAGGAGGAGAGTTGTAGTTTGGTAATTCAGAATAGAAAGTTTTTAGGAGTAAATCCTCGTTGTGTGTTCATCATTACCAGTCAGTTTAGCTTGTATTTTTTGTGTGTGTTCGTTTGTTCAGCGGCCACAGTGGTGAATAATGGAGCCAGAGAAGAGGAATTCTGCAGGAATCCATCTCAGTCTGCAGTCTTTCTGAGGTGGAGCTGTGAGCAGGCAGAAGCAGAAAGCAACAGGCTACTGGAGATTGACCCGGTGCCATGCACACACACACACACACACACACACACACACACACATTCTTAGGACAATAACTGCCTCTACTGGGGAGAAAAAACATAATATGACAACACTCAAGCACACAGGGAAATGTATGCAAGCACCCACCCACAGATTTGGGCTCCACACACACACACACACAAACACGCATAAATAGCAGAAACGGGATACACACAGATTGTTAGTAAACAGATTAAATTGGAGAAGCTATTCACACTGGCATGCATGCAGAGACACACACAGACAAATATGCAGATGCACATATGAGCGTCCGTGTGCATGCACGTGCATACAATTCACACTGCAGGACCACTTCAGGTTTCATCATCTTCTTTTCCTTTTTTTTTTTGCTTTCTTTCTCTTGAGAGCAGGGGGGGGGGAGGGGGGGTGTCTCATTCCCTCTCTTTTGTTGCTGCTGGGGAGAGAGAGCACATATCCATACAGAACACTCTCTCCAGCCCCATTCACACCCACACACACCGCTCCCTCCCTCCCTCCTCTCCTCTCCTCTCCACTCCTCTCCTCTCCACACACACACACACACACACACACACACACACACACACATCCACAAAGATACAACATCAAAGACAACGCCGAAGGATTATTTCAGCCACACACTGGCTCCTCAATCCGGGTCTGTACCTCTCGTGGAACCCCCCTCTCGCCTGGCTGCACTTGGTACGGCCCAAGCATTCCTGCCAAGTAGCTTTCACACATGGAGGGGAAGCTTGTCTCAAGCAATTGCTGACAAGCTACAAACAAGACAGCCTCCTTTTCCCTCTCTCCCCTTTTTCCCCTCTCACTCTGTCTCTCTCCCTCTCTCTCTTTCTCTCATCCACTTCAACCCTGGTCTGCTCTGCTCCCACTCGTCCTCACTCCTTCCACTTTCCACCCTCTCCATCCCCCTTTCTTTTTCCTCCTCTCCCCTGTCCTCTCTCCTTCTCTCTAATCCCCCCCCCCCCTCTCTGAGAATGTGGGGGCCCCACTAGCATAAATTGTCAGCTGTTCCTGGGCGTACTCTCCATGGCTCCCTAAACTCACATAAGCGCACATATGCAGTCTCTGGTGGGACAAGGGTAACCCAAGTAAGCCCTGTTGGGTATGAGTCTGAAAAAGTATACCAAGGCCCCGATTAATGCTGGAGCGTGAAGACACTGATAGTTTTACTCTGTAATGCTCTGCAACAGACTGCTGAGACTAATGGCATTACAGCGTTAACATCAACACACTTTCTTTTTTTCTTTTTAATTCATTAATGTAAATGCAGAGTCTTCATAAGCAGTGCAATACCAGTAATATCTCCTCTGTGTATTGATCACTCACAAGGGCCACCCAGCATTGACCGTTTGAGAGTTAAGAGTGCTTAAACCACAATCATTAACCTTTTTTTTCACAGTTTTTATAATTATCAGAATCAGAATCAGAAGGAGCTTTATTGCCAAGTAACGTTTTACACATACAAGGAATTTGCTGATTTGGTGATAAGGTGCTACACGTAGACAAACATACAGTCAACATAAATAAATGTAGAAATATATAAATATGGAATGGAAGATTATCACAGCAATGCCTGCTTTTAGGGCTATTTAAATGTAATGTATTAATTATAAAGGTAATTTATATTTTATATTTACACCTAACATGAAGTCACAAAAAGGTTTCCACTCACAAAATGACGACATCATTCTAACACTTTGGTCAACATT